GCTTCTCACTTGTCCTGAAAGCCCCTTGCTGGGGTTGGTACTTGGAAGGGAGACCTCCAAGGAAGGCTCTGCAGAGGAAGGCAATGGCCAACCACCTCTGCTTCTCACTTGCCTTGAGAGCCCCTTGCTGGGGTTGGTACTTGGAAGGGAGACCTCCAAGGAAGACTCTGCAGAGGAAGGCAATGGCCAACCACCTCTGCTTCTCACTTGCCTTGGAAGACCCTGGCTGGGGTCACCACATCAGTTCCAAATGGACAGCACTGACGGACATCACGCATCAGTAGCATAGAAGGGGAGAGACCGCAACTGTGATTTGTAGGGTTCTGAGAAATGGAGGGTGGTGCACATCACCCCCTTCCAGCCCCCCATTGATTCCCTCTAAGCTGAGTTAGTGTGAGCTAGCTCACAGTGTTTTAGCCTCCGGCTCACACATTTTTGTCTTCGCTCAGGAAGGAGGGCTCCAGAGCAAACTAATTCATGCAGTAGCCAAATCGCTCGCTCACAACTTTAATGCCAGTAGCCCACAAAGTAGAATTTCTGCTCACAAGACTCCACAGCTTAGAGGGAGCCTTGCTCACAACCTCCCCATGAGGTGGATGAAACTGAGAGAAAATGGCTGGGCGAAAGTCACCCAGAGAGCTTCCACGGAAGAGAGGGGAAGCGTACCTACACCTCAGCTCCAGTTTCACACTCAACCAGTGTTCCCTCGAAGCTGAGTTAGTGTGAGCTAGCTCACAGTTTCTTAGCCTCCGGCTCTCACGTTTTTATCTTCGCTCAGGAAGGAGAGCTCCAGAGCAAACTAATTTACGCAGTAACCGAATCGCTCGCTCACCACTTTAATGCCAGTAGCTCACAAAGTAGAATCTTTGCTCACAGGACTCCACAGCTTAAAGGGGAACATTGCACCCATCCCACCTATGCAATGCTCTTCTTACAACCTTCTCAGGCAATATGACTATGTACATATTTACCCTCCTCGCAGTTGGGGCCAGTTCTCCCTGGCGGGCAAACACAGGAACCGGTCACGTGATGACAGGTGGCATGCTCACCGCAGGAACACACGAGTGCGCAGTCAGTGCCGAAGCGACCAGCCGGGCAAGCTAAGGATTTTTGGGGGGGGGGATTTACAAAAATCAACAGGAAAGAAGGTCTTGTTTACAAAAGAGTCACCCATAAAGAAGAAGAGAAGAGATTGGATTTATACCTTGCCCTTCAGTACCTGATGGAGTCTCAGAGTGGCTTACAATCTCCCTTCCCCTCCCCACAACAGACACCCTGTGAGGTAGGTGGGGCAGAGAGAGCTCTTTCAAGGACTGCTCTAGAGAAAACAGCTCCAGGGAAGAACTTGT